GCCTTCTGCCGTGCTCGATATTGACATTGGTACTCACGTTTGTTAGTTGATCTCCACCAATAGGCCCAACGGTCTATTGGGCCCTTGTCTCTGCTCCCTGATCGGGGGAGCCCAACCCTAATACGGTTGGTGGGCCCCTGTCGCACAGCACACATAAAAGGAAGGTGGGGATCAAGGCTCGGATGATGAGGTTCACTGGAGCCGCCATCCCACCTACAGAAAACCCTAATCTGATCAAAGGTCGTGCTGCCCGCCACCGCCGTCGTTCCCCTACAGGTCTACATCGGACCGCCGTCTCGCCACCGAGCCGGAGCTGCCCCTACACCGGCGTCTACGCTGCTGCTGTGCCGCAACAGTGAAAGGCGAGAAGGGTCTTCCCCAGATCTACGGGTTTCACACAGAGAGCTACACACATTTGATCCTAACAACGTTGTCTCCTTTTATTCTCTTCTCTCTGCTCATCGGTCATCTCTGCTCTTCTCTTTCGTTGTTGCACGTTCCTTTCGCCCATCGTATGGTTACTAATATATGTAGGGTCACGTTTGTGAGATTACAAAAATTAAATAATAAGACTCTTTCACATAATAAACACGTATCCAATCTTTACCGCTAGCCACTGATAGAGCAGTGCCTATTGCCGTTGAGGTGCCAATGCCACCATGGCTATGATTCCCATGTGCGGTTGGTTGGATATTTTCCTTGTCCAGTATAATTTGTGAGTTTTGGTCTATCTTAGAACGATTAGTACCTGCATTTTTTTGGTCCATCTCATAACATTGGTTTGAGTATATTAAGAGCCTGAGTAATAATAAACTAAGAAAAGAAAAATTATACCGAGTGCAGTCAAAACACAAGAAACGCTATTGTTTTGGGACTCGGCCTTCTTCCGTTCTCGGTAGTGACGTTGGTACTCACGTTGTTTCCTCCTCATCTCCTCCCTTTGTTCGTCGGTCATTTTAGCTCGCCGAATTCGTTGCTGCAAGTTCCTTTGTTCCCTAGTCCACCGGGCCTCATCTATATGTCACAGTATAGGAAATCAATTAGCCAACCCAAAGTTATATATTACTCCATCAGTCTCTGTAAAAATCAATTTGTAGAGTTATTGTAAGTCAAACTTTTTAAACTCTGATCGAATGTCTAGAAAAGAGCATTAAGATTTATGGTACCAAATTAATACCAAATTAATACAATGTAAAATCATACCTGTGATGTTGGTGATGTCGCTTAGTGGATCGTATGTATCTCTCGACGTAGACATTTAGTTAATGTATCACAAGCAGTCTGTGATGACGCAGGACCTTTGATTTTTATTTATAGTACCTATTACAAATGGATAGTCAATGTCATCACAAAATCTCAGAAAACCAGAAATCAATTGTTCTCAAATTATTTGTGACCAATCCATCAACAAATGTGATAGGCGACAGCAAGATTTCTAATAGTATCGCAAGGAAGCCAATAAACTTTAGCAGCACAGTGCCATGCACCAGTCCATGCACGCACACACGCATGTTCACCTGGCCGCACCAAGACGCACACACGCACGCCACCGGCGGCGACGAGAGATAGTCCACGGCGTGACGAGCCGCTCCTCGGTGTTGCTGTCCTCGCCAGTATGTAGGTGTTCTCGACGGTCGCCGGTGTTGAGGCGGCGTTAAATCATGGGCACCGTGACCTTGTCGACCGGAGAAGTGCCCTCGCGAACGGATCGCGACCTCTCTTGCCGACGCCGATCAATGCCGAGCTCGACAGTCTCGCCATGCGCGTTCGCGCAGACCGTTTCAGGTCTCTGGTCGCCACAGACGCCGTTATCGTCCGCCGTCGTTTATGGTCCGACGGAGCTGCTGCCGTCCGGTCGCCGCCGCTTGCAGATGCCGGTGCCACGACGCTAGATCTGCGTCGCTGCCCTAGCACGGCCCGTGGCTCGGCAATGAGTCGCAGCAGGGTCCGTTGCGTGGCGGCGCCAAGTTAGTCGGCGAGGAGGCGGCGACCATCAACAGGTCGGCGATGGTGGCGAGAGTCGTCCGGAGTCTAGCGTCAACAGGAGGATGCTACGGTGCGGAGGTTGTCATGCATTTTTTCCCAGACTTTCTTTTTTGATGGTTGAATTATCGGTGATTGGATCCTAATTGTCGAGAGCTACGAGGATGCGGGCGGGGAGTGCGGAGGTGAGGAGGTGTGAGAAGCCTCCATCAAACATCGTTTCTGGGCCTTTGGATTTGACGTAGATCTATTATGAACCCTTTGATTTTGATAAAGACAAGTCCAATTATATTGGAGATTAACCGGTGGGCTACGGCGATAGCCTGGCGAAAGTGTCGAGCTGCTGAGGGAGGAATGGACCAAGAAAGACGAAGGCTGTGTCGTGTGTTAATGAGTTGGCCCAATAGCCGGTAGCCCAACGGAGCAAGAAAAAGGCCCATTCTCTCTCGGTCTCCTGTTAGCTCCCTCTGGATGACTCGATCCACTCGGCCATTGTTGCGCCTTGCGCCGCCGCCATCGCCGCTCGAACGGTCGAACCCTTGGCATCCGCGTGTCTAGCGGCAGCCACAGCTGCATCCTGTGAGGCCGCGAGTGTGTGCGCTGGTGTGCCATGGCCGCGACAAGCAGCGAGTAAGGCTAAATGGCGACGCCGATGCTGGCATGCTGCGACGTGCAGACGCTCTGGGGAGGTGACCTCCTCGCGCTTGAGCTCAGCCGCCTCATGATTCTGATCGAACGGGAGCGCATGAGGATGTTGTTTGCCTCGTCAAAGCTAAAGACAACAACAGTCGTGGCTGCTGCATCGGCGAGGCAGCCGTTGTTCGACCTGTCGCGCGCTTCTTGGACGAACTCATTAGGAGCCAAACGATCCGCAGAGCCACAAAGGTATATGTTCTGCCCCACCTAAATTTTTGGGCAAGCCCCGCCATCCTTTGGGTCTCGAAAAGCGACCTCCCAAACTTTGTTCAAGTCCAATTCGCCTCCTTGATAAAAAAAAAGAAATCATTTTCTAGGTTTCTTCACATGAAAAGGGTTAAATTCATGTCATTAAAAAACGACATTCCTGAAACACACCGTTACAATTCGTCTATTTAGATACGTGTCATTGCAATTCGTACACTTGCTAAGTCTTGCCATTTTCTACGTCTAACTGTGCCTTGGACCCACATGACGTTGTATGTGTGTACTGGGAATTCATATGGGCCGTATTTTCCCTGCCTTTCACGGGTTTGACCTGACCGGGGTCGAACGAGTATGATGAGAGGAAGTCCGATGAAGGGCGATGCGACGGGGTCGAGCTCGACAGCAGGCGCCAGCAGGGAGCAGCAGTCCTGCCTCCTAGATTGCCCAAATTGCTTGATCCCTTTGGTTTGGATCAAGAGCAAGTAGCCAGGAACCCCGAGATGAGTGCTTCATCAAGTGCCCGAACAATATCAAGGTGAGAAATCTCTGTATTGTTAGGTTCGTCATGGAGGGTTGCTTTGTGTTTGACGCAGGACTGATTTGAACGTGGGGTGATCCAACCACATGTGGATTCATCTGGCCCGAGGAGGAGGCCTGGGCAGCGCAGCAACATCGGATGAACCATGTGCGTAACGTGGAGCCAACAGTAGTGATGCAATTGTCTGGTGAAGGGTATGCTGATTTGAGGCATGAACTGAACAAGTGAAGCAAATTGTGGACAGTGTTGTAACTGAAGTTTGGAACTTGAAGGTGCAACAAAGTCGGATAATGCAGGAACCACCGAACCAGACAAGAGGAAGTGGCAAGTTGTAGTGGATTTTCAGTTGTAGCAGCATTGTTTGTTGGTGTTCTTATTGATGTCTTTGCTGTCCTGATTTGGAAGTGATGGCAGGTAGTGTGTAATGGTTGCAGCAGTAATGGTTTATGCAGGAACTAGGAACTTATAATAGGTAGCGTGTGTTGTCTGTAGCTGAAGAATGTAATGATTTTAGCAGCAATGTACTTTGGTATGATTTCTAAGTTAATGTGAAATTTGTGTGTTGGAATTTTTGTTGACATATCCAATTTAGAGTAGATAAGTTGACATTTATATCAAAAGATTCATTTGCATATTTTTGTCACCAGATAAGTTTACAGTATACAACAACTTGTTCACACCATAACAAGTTGACAAGCTAACAACACATGCCAAGATAAGTTCAGGGTCCAACAGCAACATAGTTTTCATAGATGACATTACATTGGTTCTCACAGAAAACATAAACATAGTTCACACAGCTGACTTCAACTTAGTTCACACACCTAACACATATTGCCATGACACATGTTCATAGGCTGGCAATGAAATCTTTTAGGCTTCGGACAGCACTAGATTGTGGAGCAGCAACTGTCGTCACAAGCTTCTTTTTAATTGAAGTCTTCTTTTTTTTTGGTGTCTTCTTTTTAATTGGAGTATTCTTTGCTGCCATTCCCCACAGGAACATGAGTGGTGCTGGAGGTCCATTGTGTGCCTCTTTTGGTTGTTGTAGCTATCAAGCAATGTAACTTCAGCTATTAGCTCATCACTTCCTGAAACTCTCACAACTTAAAGTTGCTGCTAATTGCATTTCTCCACGATGGGCTCTCTAATATCATCAACCAATTCATGCAACTACAAGCCTTTTTAACTTCTTCATCTGAGCATTGAAACTCTCAGACACATTATTAGTTAAATAATCACATTTAATTTTTCTCTGTAAATACACATGTGTGCTTCTTGCAAGTATTCTATAGCATCAGGAGCAACCTGCCATGATATTCTTGCAAGTATTCTTGCAAGTTACTCCACGACTGTACATCTTCCGCGCAGGTGCGGAGACAGCAGACAGGCCGCGGTCGTGCGGACAAAGGGGGTGCGGGGGAGGCACATCGAAACTGCGGTCCGGACGTAAAGCGCTCCGCCGCTTTTTTAGTAGCAGAAGAGATTGCTTTGCGTTGCATCGATCGAGAGCCACTGGTTCTCGCTTTCCAAACCACATCTGCTCAGCTCGCCTCCCACACACGCCCTTTCCACCATGGCTTCCCTCTACGTCCACCACACCTCGCTACCACTCTCCCCGCCCCACCAGCTCACGGTCCCCGAGTCCCCTCGCGCGCCGCCCCCCTCCTCGCGCCTCCCCGCTGTGCCATCCTCCTCCCACCATGTCAGCGCCCTCCCTCGACCCGCGGCGGCTCCCTCCGCCTTCGCGCGCCACTGCAAAGCGCCGGTCCGGGACCACGACGCTGAGCTCCTCCGCGCTCTACAGTCCAACGGCAACGGCACCCTCCACGGGGACGCAGCACCGCCGCAAGTCCTCGATTCGCGCTCCGACAGACCGGGCGGCGACGGCAGGAGCAAGAGGTCGCGTTTCTGCGCCCGGGATTGCGCGAAGCGGATCATGGAGCTGCCCGTGGAGGAGCGGGTGAAGGTGCTCGACCTCCTGCCGCGCGACGACGCCGCGCTCACCGTCTCCGACTACAACGACATCCTCTCGGCGCTGGCTCGCGCGGGGGACCACACCACGGCCGTCGCGCTGTTCCGCGCCATGCCCGTCGCCCCCGACGCCCAGTCCTTCGCCACCGCCGTGCAGTGCCTCTGCCGCCAGGGCGCGCCCGACGAGGCCAAGCTCGCGCTCGACGAGATGGTGGCGCGCGGGTTCCGACCCAGCGTCGCCACGTTCTCAGCCGTCGTTGGGTGCCTCTGCAAGCGCGGACGCGTCACCAAGGCCATGGAGGTGTTCGACGCCATGCGCGCGCTCGGGTGCGAGCCGACCATCCGCACCTACAACAGCCTCGTCGGCGGGCTCTGCTACGTGGGCCGGCTGGAGGAGGCGCTCGACCTCCTCAACAAGCTCAAGTACTCGCCTATGACGCCCGACATCTACACCTTCACGATCGTGCTCGACGGGTTCTGCAAGGTCGAGCGGACGGAGGAGGCCACGGCCATCTTCCACGATGCGATCGGGATGGGCCTCTCGCCGACGATATTCACCTACAACGCGCTCCTGAACGGCCACTGCAAGGAGGGGAACCCGCTCAAGGCGCTCGCGCTGCTCATGGAGATGTGTGGCAACGCCGCCGCCTGCCCGCCAGACAAGATCAGCTTCGGGATCGTGCTGACGGCGCTGCTCCGCGCCGGCGAGACCTCAGCAGCGTGGCAGACGTACAAGCGGATGGAGCGCGCTGGGTTCGACGTGGACGGGCGCGCGCTGGACACGCTGGCTCGGGGCCTGTGCCGGCGGTGCGCGACGGACGTCTCGGCCCTCGGCGACGCCAAGGAGGTGTTCGCGAAGGTGGTGGCTTCGGGCCACGAGCCGGTGTCGTACACGTACTGCCTGATGGCGCAGGCGCTGGCGCGCGGCGGCGAGGTGGACGCGGCCGTGGCGCTCCTGGAGGATATGGTGCGCAAGGGATACGCGCTGCGGAAGCGCGCCTACACGGACGTGGTGCGCGCGCTCTGCGACCGTGGCAGGGCCCGCGACGCGCTGCAGGTGCTGGTGCTCGTGATGATCGTGAGGGACTTCGTGCCCGGACGGAACGCGTTCGAAGCGCTCCTGGGCGAGCTGAGCCGGCAGGGGCGGTGGGCCGACGCCATGGCCGTGTACGCCGCCGCGGTGAAGCGCGGCGTGGCAGTCTCGTGGAAGCACCTCGGCAGAGAGGCGCTCTCGCCGGAGGAGCCCGTTCGGCTGGGCGTCCTGGTCCCGCAGTGACCGTTTGTCTTTGGGCGGGATTACCATCTTTCCGAGGCTTCCCGGTGTTGGCAGACTTGGAAGCGAGCTTGCATTCTGCTTCCGTTGCTGAAGACGAACAGTTCTGCCAGTTTGAGCTGCTTGCAGATGGCACCATGAATCTCTCTGAGGAACAAGCGTAGCTGATGGTTGAGGTTGAGTACTCGCATTGGCGTGCGTGTATTTTAGCAAATTTTCGGGAGACGCCGCAAATGTACCAATTTTATGTAAATCATTTCTGCTTGGATTATCCGGCCGGTAGGCTCGCTCGGTTCTCGGAGGCATACACAAGTCTCAGTAGTGTCATTCTTGTTCATAAATCGTAACTTGTAGTCTTGTAGATCACCCAAAAGTTCGAGTGGTTACCATTCTGCATCATTACTTTCGCTGTACACGCTATACCGACGCTGAATTCCAGATCCTGATTCCTGATACCAAAAGTATGACTGCACTGCTCGACTTTCGAATCTGCGTGCCTGCATGGATGATAATCCTGCTTTCATAGCTGTACACGCACAAAGCACTTTATTTATAGACGGCGCCACCAAAAAAAAAGCACTATCACTGACAAGGCGCAGCAACAGTCTTGAAACACAGACACTCATGGCGCCCGTGCTTCGTCAGGAAAGCGAAGATTGAAGATCAGGCAGCTTACTCCTTCGCCACCTGCTCGACGCCGTACTCCGTCGCCCGAGGGTTCACGTGCGGCGCCAGCATCGACCCCTGTCAATCATGCAGATGCAGAGCAGGCACAGAATGATGATCAGCTTAATTGGCTGTGCGTTCGATCCCCGATCTCTCTCAAATCGTGTTCGCAAAAGGAATCCAACAAGAAGTCGGTCGGCCGGTTCACGGCGCGCACGCACCGAGGTGAGGTTTACGAGGTAGACGCCGATGTCAGGGTGCTTGAGGGGCTCGTACTGTTGCTTGTCGACGGAGACGGTCCAGCCGTAGGAGTTCCGGAACCCGGGCTCGCTGTCGTAGAGATTGTACGGCTCCGGCGCGCCCCCCTTCTTCTTGCCCTTCTTGTTCGACTCCAAGGTGACGCCGCCGCCGCCCGCCCCTCCGATGAACCTGTTCACCAGCTTCCTCCACGACCACGTCGGCCGCCGCGCGTCATCGCTGCCGCACTCGTCGCCTTCGTCTCCCCGGCCGCCCGGCCTCCACGCGCCAGCACCCTCGCATCGTGCTCCCCTGTCCCGCACATCATCGTGCCCGTTGCCCTGCCCACGCTCCTACTCTTTGCCGCCAGCGCTCTCGGGCTCCACGTCCGCGGTGTAGTACACGATGGGGCCGCCGGTTTTTTGCCAGCAGGATACTTGCCAACTCGTCGTAGGTGGCCTATATTGTACAAAAAAGACATGCAAATTATGCATACATGGTCCTACTACTCGTAGTATGTATCCCTTAGAGCACGATGTGAACTGTTCAGATCAGATTAGTAGTATATCTCACGTTGAAGGCATGGCCAAGCGTCTTCGGTCCGAAACCGGAGATGACAGACGCCGGGTGCCCTGCGCCGCCGAGGTAGAAGGCCTGCATTGGATCATGGTTCATCAGTGCGAGATTTGCAGATTGCAAGTACATGTTCTCTTGCAACGAAAACAGGAAGATGAGGATATATGCAGAGACCTGATAAGGAGGTCCAAAGCCAAGGCTATCGGAGGCGTCGATGCTGCATATGATCTGTAGCCTCTGGCCTTTGCCGGTGTTGACCAAGCAGAAGGTGGAGCCGGCGTCGATGTGGAGGACGTCGCCCATCTTGAGCTTCCTCTCCACGAGCTCATCCTTGTGAATATACCCAACCTTCACTCCCCCTGCTCATCATAACACATACCACGATTTCCATCTCATCGATCGGTACACGCGCACAAGCCTATCCTCGATTCCACCGCTAACTAACGTTGCAAGAAATGAAACCATCTAAGAAAAAGAAAAACGTAGCATGTTCTATTCTCGCACGTGTGAGCGTGTCGTGTCGTGCGCATAGAAATAACTGGGTGCATACGTACAAGCACAACGTACCCCGATGCACGAAGAGAGTGATGCTGGAGTCGAGGTACTGCGGCACGAACAGCGTCTTGGGCTCCATGGTGATGAAGCCGATGTGCATGAGCCCCTCGCGGCAAGCGAAGGCGGCCGGCGGCCACGGCTGGCCGCGCACCACGCGCACTTCTTCCAAGCTTAACTTGCTCGATCGCTTGCTCCCTCTCCTGGTCAGCTCCGTAAACACAGTACAGTGCTTTCTAGTGCTACGGACGCCGGTGAGGCGGCGGATATAGAGGCGACAGGTGAGCGTGGGGGCATCGCACGTGTCGTCGTGCATGGCTGAGGAGGCAGTTTCGTTGAGAAGAAAATTCGGTGGACGGGTGGAGCATGGCTCGCAGGTCCGTGCATAACCCACCTGACCTCGCGACGCGACGCGTGTCCCCTTCTCTGATGACACGGATACTGGGTCTCTCACGCTCACTCCTCGGCTTGTGTTGCTTCTCGGCCATCGGCTCAGCACGTAGAAGTGCAGCATGATTTATCAAATTCTCCTAGAAAAGAGGTTTTTGTGGACACCATGGAATAGATTGAACAAGCAAGGGCAGAACGAAAAGATGTAATTCCTTTGGCAAAACCTGTGACGAGAGGAAACAACGCACTTGAATCATCGTAATACTTTATAATCAAGCTAGCATTGGACTAGCATGTCTAACGCATCCAACCTTCAAAATGACAGCAGTGAAGTATTTGGGCACTTGTCTTCTTATTGTTCTTCCCTGAACAGCAGGACGAGCGAGCAGCTTCAAAAATAGCAGCAGCGGTTTCGCCGTCAGTGACGTGCCCAGTGGTGCCGGCGTTTACAAAAGGGGCTTCCTCTCATAGATTCATCTAAGAGGGTGTTTGGACCAGGAAGTTAATAATTAACCCATGTTTTTATACCAATTAGAAAGTTTAAATTGAGCTAATTCTCGGCTAATAAGAGCTAATGATGGCTAAATGGTGGTTAGAGTCGTTTAGCCCTTATTACCCCATAATTAGGTCATGTTTAATCATTTTCACAAGGTGAGCTATTTTTTAGCCCTGGGATCCAAACAACCCTAAATTGAAAACCTAATCACACAAGATAATAGAGGGAAAATGAATGCCATGAATCGATAAAAAAAGGAATAACGAAGAACACGAATCCGAACCCATACCATGCCGCCTCCTGCACCATGCGGCGGTGCTAGGCCTAGGGTTCGGGTTACCTAATTTTTTAGGTTGGTAATTAGGGTAATTTGATGTTCGGGTAATGAAAACTGTTACCTGATATAAGTTCCAAAACTACACTAACTACAATTTCGGGTATCTTATAATTCGGTTTCAGGTTCAAGTATATCCGATATACCGGAATTCACAGAAAACAACAAACTGCGCAAAATTTTAATAGCAATTTATACATAATTTTAGCTACAATTTGTATAGAATTTCAACAACAATTTATAGAGAATAATATATTACAGTCACTTGTTCAAACAGAGATAACCATAACTCATCGTAGACACAAACACATATACACATCTTCGGTTAGTTCGAAGACCAGGAGATATTACCCGAGTTATCTAAACAAATTTCGAATAATCAAAATTGATATCAAATTTGGGATGGGTACCTGATGCTTTCCCGCCTGCTTCTCTCGACGTGCAGGCTTCCTCTCATTTTTTGTGGCTAATATTAAAGAAGATTTAGAAAAGGAAAGAAATAGTGAAAATAGAAACCAAAACAAGAAGCAGAGATTTTAAGTAATTTTACAAAGCTAACGATTGGATGGTAAATTTGCGAAGCCAACTACTCCGACTAGCAAAGCTTTAATTTTCTCGACAATGCAACGAGTAATCAGATGCGCGTGAAGGTCACCATGGACTTTCGCCCAGTTCGCTTGGCTTATAAGCCGTACTTTTTCAGCCAACGAATAGTATTTTTATCTCATAACAAATCAGCCAATAATACTTTCAGCCATGACTTATCAGCCCAGCGAGCAGGACATTTGCCCATAGCTACATAGGGTCATGGTCATCACCCGTGGTTGGGTCAGCATTGTCGCGGATGCATCGGTGACGCCAAGGATGTAGCTGGAGAAGAGGCCGTGGGAGCTGATTGATATTTTAGAGCATTGCTTCGCGTTACGGTGGAGATGGTGCCGGCGGCTATGGGGAAACTTTTTAAGAGCTTGTTTTTATAGGCTGAAAACTTGTTTTGTATTGTACCAAACTTTGATTGAGTACATAACCTATGTAAGAATCAGAATAAAAATTCCTTTTTCTAAAAAGAGAAGAGGAACATATGTGTGACGAGTGCTGGGAACTCCTGTGCATGCCTGCATGGTGTGAGCTATGAGCGAGAAAACGATGCCTCTTTACGAAGCATGTGTCTGGTCGAGGACTGAGCTGGATATAGGATGGCTTCGTCACCTTTTGAGATGGGATCATTTTGTTTCATGTTTGGTTACAAAGACGAGACTACTTTAACTTTCTATTGAGGCTCTGTTCGCTTCTCTTATAATCCGTCTTTTTCAGCCGGAACAATGTTTCTCTCTCACAACAAATCAGCCGCAACAGTATTTCGACTTGTTTTTTCAGCGAAGCGAACGGAGCCTTAGGCAGTGTTTGGTGCAGCTCCATAGTGCTCTGACTCCTCTCCTGTAGCGTCACTCTTCAACTCCTGCAGCAGAGCCGGAGGAGCCACCGCAACCCAGCTCCTGTGACTCCTCTTGGTTTTTGCGTTGTGTGGTGAAGGAGCTGGAGCTCTTTTTTTACTCGCTACAGGGATGTATAGAGCCGATGAGAGCTCAAACAAACGCGCCCTTATTACGAGAGATGGAAAGGGAAGGATATGATTCTTCACACCGTAAGTGGTGGGACCTGCCTGTCATTAGTTTGGACTCACCAGTTATCCTCATGCATCTTCTTTCACGTGTTTCTTCCCAATTGAATTATACCTCTGCTTGCCCCTCAATCTGCAATCGCACTGCTTGCTTCTCGTCCTCCCCCGCGCAGCCATCCTCGCCAATGTCCTATGATGGCATCTTCGTCAGTGCCTCTCCAACGCTGTCATCCTTGCCTACTCCCCCTCGTTCCTTTGCGGCCGTGTCATCCTCACCAGTGTCATCCACTCCAAGGCCTCACCAATGCAATAGAGGAGCTGTGATGAGTTGGGTCATGTGATTTTTTGGATTTTCCTACTTTAGATAAAAAATTTCTAGGTTAAATTGGGCATCATGATCCAAACTCGATCCAACATACTAGCGAGCCATGTAAACTGGCTATGATCAATCCGATCTACTACTAAACACCTAACCTTCCATGGAAAGGAGAAGCATGGGATCGAAAAATGCTCTAATTAATAAGAATAAGAAACACATAATTGTAGTATTGTCCACGTAGGCCTTAAACTTCATCGTGGGTTTCTTAAGGCACATGAACAACTTATATTAAATGAAGAAAGATCGACCGTTCTTTTTTTGAAAGGTGATTGACCATTAACATTGCTGGAGAAAGTAAAAGAATAAAATTTATACCGGTTTTAAACTTGTATAAAGGTGTTAGGTCCCTGAATTTGTATGTCAACACACAGATAACACTAATGTGTCATGCAAATTATGTGTTGATGTGCAAGTTTATGACCTGCATGACACTACTATACAAATTCCTGGACTTAAGAATCAAAATTAAAAAACTAGAGATCCACGCTCTGTCCGTTTGGCTTATAAGCCGTACTTTTTCAGCCAACAAATAGTATCTTTCCCTCATAATAAATCAACCAACAATACTTTCAGCCATGACTTATCAGCCGAGCGAACAGGCCACCAGAAGACACCGCGGTCAAGTTTAGAAACCCGTAAATTAAAACCGGAGAGTAAGGGACTCAAATAACACCGCCGTGCAAGTACACGAATCGCCGGTAAATTTTATCCAAAGTAAAACACATGCTCTTGTCGTGGTATTTCTGCTGTGCACGCATCCCGTACGTATCCAATGGTCCACGTTAGTCTTGAGGAAGAAAACTGTTTTGCACAGCACGGTTCCATATACTTCCATCCATCCAGCACCGGCGCGCGGCGCGCAGCAGCGCAATGGCACGGAGGCACGGACCCGACTCGCTGCCGCACCGAAAGAAGGCGACTTGTCTCGCCGTCCCCGGGGCCCGTGGTGGCTCACATGCTTGCTACGGTCTACGGAGTAGGAGTAGAGTAGCTGGCTAGTATAGCCTCTCTCTCCAGATCGGCAGATCCCACTCCACTGCTTCCTCCACACCACCCCACCTCTAAATCCAAACCAAACCCGAAAGCACCACGACACACGGCAGCAGCAGCCTGCGTGCCTGCCTATCCACCCTTCCTCCTCCAGCCTCCCGGCTCGGACACCCGCGCGGACAAGCCGAGAGCGGCAGCGAGGGAGGTGGGGGCTGCGCCGGCCTCGCAATGCAGCAGCCGGAGCATGCCGATCCGCCGGGCCGGGGCTTCCCGCCACCGGCGGCGCCGGCGCCTGCCGCCGCGCGCGGAGCGCACCACCGCCGGGCCAGATCTGAGGTTGCCTTCCGCCTCCCGGACGACCTGGGCCTCGGCGGCGGCGGCGGCCCCGACGGCGACGCCTTCGACGAGATCGGCTCCGAGGACGACCTCTTCTCCACCTTCATGGACATCGAGAAGATCTCGTCCTCCGGGCCCTCCGACCGCGACCGCGACCGCGCCGCTGAGACCTCGTCTCCGCCGCGCCCAAAGCATCGCCACAGCAGCTCCGTCGACGGCTCGGGCCTCTTCTTCTCGCCCGGCATCGGCGGCGGCGCGGGGAAGGATGCCGCGGCGTCGCTGGCCGAGGTCATGGAGGCCAAGAAGGCCATGACTCCCGAGCAGCTGGCCGAGCTCGCGGCCATCGATCCCAAGCGCGCCAAGAGGTACTGCATCCTCGATCGCGGCAATCCATCCATTTCTTTAGTTACCATTACCATGCTTGGCATTGTCACTCATGCCTAGCCTCAGTCGCCGAGTGATCGACTAGCTCCAGGATTAGTTGGTAGAGAAATATGCTCGAATACTATAGATCAATTCTTTTGTTTCGCCGAGGTGGCGAGGAATTAGATCAGGCGTCGAGGACAATCATGCATGCATGCTTTCTGATGGAAGTGGCTGGAGACTAAAGGAAAGACGAGCATTTCCCCTTGTTTTTTCCTCTGCGGGCACTGTGTATGGATATGGATAGATTGTATTGGTTGGTTGGTTGGTTGGGGGTTGGGAGTTAAGGTACTGGTGCTTTAGCGCTTGGTTGGTGGGATTATGGACGAGTGCTTGTTTCTGTGAGGGTGACACGTGCTTTTTCTACTCCTTTTGCTGAGTGTTGGGGGGTTTGAGCAATTGAGCCCGTTGATCATGATTGGAAAAAGGAGGTCAGCGAAAAGGGAAACTGGGTATTTTCTTACCTGTGAAGTTATATTTCCCGGTTGTAATTTGAGGGTTTACAGGTGAAGTGCTGAGATATAAGCTAGATGGGTGGTTTTGAGGATTATATTGCTTACTTTTGACACTTCAGAATGATGTCAGACGAATGCTTTTTTGTTGGGCGAGATGAAAAGAAAATGAAGCACATTGGACTAACGATTAGAAAACCTAGCTATATTAATAGTTCAAGGCAGTAGGAAGGAACAACCACTGAAAACTATCCAATCAAATCAGTGAAAATAACAAGTTCTAACCATTTTACCTATTGTATCTCTATTGAAACTATGAACGATTCCTGGCGGTCATTGGTTGAAATTTTAATAGAGAAATGTGAAATTGTGAATGATGTTGGGAGCAATTGGATTTTACATTTCTAATAATCACGTGACATAATCCTGTCACCAAAACCAGGTGCTTTCATCCTTAGCATGGCAGAGATCTCATTAGTAACAAATAATGCTATCCAAACTGAGTAGCTGATAACATGATGTCCACTGTTTATAGTTAAATTCTAATGCTTCAAAATTACGCTCCATCATCACCAGTTTTTTATCTCTTTTGTTCTTAGACATTTTACATGTGCCAGTGTGCCTACTGTTTGACTTGTAGTAGAAAAAGGAAATTAGAAATAACAGATACTCCCTCCGTGTCAAATTATAGTTCACTTTGGCTTTGTTCTAAGTCAATCTCATCTAACTTTGACCAAGTTTTTATAAAAATGTATTAACATCTACAGGTTAAAATAAATGCACTTCCAAAACATATGTCATGGAATTTGATGAACTAATTTGATGTTACAGATGTTAGTACTTTTTTTCTATAAACTTGGTCAAAGTTAGAGAAGTTCGACTAAGGACAAACCCAAAGTGAACTATAAGTTGAAACAGAGGGAATACATGTTACATCACAGTGATTTGTCAATTGTCAAAAAAAAGGTTTATCGGCAGATATGTAGAAAATGTTTACTAATGAATTGGATTCATCCGGTATCTTCCTTTTTCAACGAAGCTCCTGCTTTTGCTCAAAATCTTTGTAGAAATGTATATATGTTGGTTGTTGTAGTATGGTCCATCTGTGTAGATTGATTGTTCCTTTAAGTCTACATTGGAAAAGAGGAATTGAACGTATAAACAAACGATATTCAGGTTGTGGCTAATGGTCCATCTGGTTAGGGTCCGGATCTATTGTCTGTAGAATCATTTCTTCAAATATCATCTTGGTTTACATTAACATTTTGTGTTAATTTTTCATGCAGAATTCTAGCTAACAGACAATCAGCGGCTAGATCGAAAGAAAGAAAGGCTCGTTATATGACAGAACTTGAGCGGAAGGTCCAAACTCTTCAGACTGAAGCCACCACCCTCTCAGCTCAACTCACACTATTTCAGGTGCCTTTCTATCTATCTGTTGTCTCATTGGTATCAGCCTATCAGGTCAAGTGTAAGTTCATGCTATTTCTGAAAGTGATATTTTGTAGGAGCAAAATAATCATTTTCCTTTGCTGTCATCATAACAAACATGGACCTATCCCCTGATAGCGAGGCGTCTATCAAACTATGGCTTCTTTACAAATTGTTTCTAGCTGAATAGTTTTCTGCGTGTGCCTTCTGTGAACTTGTGTATCTGTATGGACTAGGACAGTTGCACATGGTGTGACCAATCTAAACATCCCTCAAATTGAATGTCAATTCTGTTATTGTGAACAATTTGAAGAACTGAATGTCGATGATCTGGATGTGAGTTTAATTTATGTTGATTCTCAACTTTGACTGTCGGCTTCTGGTTGTTGCTATGTTTGGTTTTTGAAGTATTGTACACTTTACTGGTTCGCTATACTGTTGTATTAATTAGCTGAAAGACCTTTATATGTTGCCTTCAATCTCTTGCAGAGGGACACGACTGGACTTTCTGCAGAAAATGCAGAGCTTAAGATAAGGTTACAGGCCATGGAGCAACAGGCTCAACTCCGTGATGGTGAGCATTGAACAAAGCAGACAAATAAATTATGTTATCTTCGATAAGTATTTTTCCTGTTCCCTGGAACATTAAGTAGCAATAAGACCGTGGAATAGTTTTTGGCCTTATACAATAAAAATATTTTCCCTAGTCCTAGTTCATTTCTCTACCTAATACTAGAACTCCTTCCTTTTAAATTACAAGTTATTCTAAATGTTCAAGTGCCACAATCTTTTGAAGTCAAGTGTCTTTTGACATGAAACCCTTCACTAAGCAGGAGGATGCATGTAGTTTTTCTCTAATGTGGACAATTTGAAGGGCGGGCCTGGTGCAAGCGGTAGAGTCTTACCGCCTGTGACCGGAAGGGCCCGGGTTCGAGTCGCGGTCTCCTCGCATTGCACAGGCGAGGGTAAGGCTTGCCACTGACACCCTTCCCCAGACCCCGCACAGAGCGGGAGCTCTCTGCACTGGGTACGCCCCTTTTTTTTTTATATATATATCTTGCCATGAGATATAGTGACTTACTATATCTATATGGAACACAATGCTAATTACATTTTACTTACATAGAACAAATTACTGACTGGAAATTGTGTTATGACAATTTCTTTATTCTACTTGTACATTCTAAACAATCTCATATCTTGCAGCTCTGAATGATGCACTAAAGCAGGAGCTGGAGAGGCTTAAGCATGATACTGGTGAGATGACCAATTCCAGCGAGACATATAACATGAGATTTCAACATGTTCCATACAACTCTTTCTTCTTCCCGCTTTCCCAGCAAAATGCATCCCCACACCTTGGTAGCACCCAGTTGCCACCACCGTTCCACCCACCCCATCCCAATGTGCCAAACCACCAGATGCTGTCCCACCCAAACACTCTCCCAGACATAATGCAGCAAGAGTCTCTTGGACGGCTGCAGGGTTTGGACATTGGAAAGGGGCCACTGGTTGTGAAGTCAGAGAGCAGCTCGATCTCTGCATGTGAAAGCAGCAGCACCTTCTAACGAGACCTGCCAATGAGAATCTGCCGTTCCAATAGGTCCCATTGTTCATAATAGCCTGACATCCTTGTGCTGCTTCCTGCTCTGTAAGCTTATTTGTTATTTAATTCATTCAATTAGTTGAAATTGTTCGTTATCGCACTGGCTGATCAATCCATGATGTAGAATGATCCAGGAACCCTTCAAGTCTGTTTGTTTTGGGCTCATTTCCTGTTTCTGTGTTAGGTATTATCAGGGCATTTGGATTTTGGAGTGAAATTCTCTGATGGTACTTTGTTGTTTTTAGCCATATTGACTGCTTCATGAATCCTCTCCTTTGAACGTACAATGTATTCTCTGCAATTTGTTGAGCCCTGTACATTTTTGTGTTGGCAAGCTAGCTTGATCTATGCGTACTCTGATTTATGAAATGTTATCGCATTGATGGATTTCAATCATCCATCAGAGTTCAATCAGATGTTGTGTCAACATTGGAGTGTAAGTAAAGAGCAAATAATCTTGCAAAAAAAAAAATTAAAGAGCCAAAAAAATGCTAATGAGTACTCTATCTGTCCCATTGAAAGTGTTGTTTTTTACTACTTCTTGTCTGATCATTCGTTTTATTCAAAATTTTTATGTAAATAATAAAATAAATAAATTATTATTAAAGTATCTCTAATAATAAAAATAAGTCATAACAAAATAAATAATATTTATGCAAAAATTTGAATAAGACGAACGGTTAAATGAAGTCTAAAATGACATTTTCAATGGAACAGAGGGGGCAAAGACCAGTCAATGGGACAGAGGGAGTAAAGACCAAAATTAAAAGTGTCGTGTCGGGATTTACACCCATGACCCATTTGCATTTGGCAAGATCTTGTACAGATGCAGAAATATGAACATTTTTTAAAAGAGTTTTTGCTTTGGTGTCGCTTCCAAAAAAAAGTTCACACCAACTTTAAAGCAGATTAATTAAAGTCTTTCCCCAATTAATTTCCTATGAGTCCTGTTTGGGGCTCGGCCCTGCCCGACCCATGATGCCCAGCGACCAGCAGCCTGTGTTTTCGATCCGATTTCATCAGCAGCCAGAGCACGTGCATTCCTTGTCGTGGTCTCGTGGAGCCTGCTGCTCCTCTCACTCGTGGAGCTTGCACCGCGCGCCCGATATCTGAGCATTGCCCACCAGGCCACCACCGCCGCTACCGTTGAGCGCTAGCGCCCAGCCTGCCGGCCGTCGTCGCCGTGGAACACTGGTGCCTTCGTCTCATTGGACTCTGGGGTGAAATGAAATGAAATTTAGTTTAATTTTACTCTAATCCATTTCAACACATATAGATTAAGACGAATACATACGTACCAAACAAGACCTTAGCAGTGTCGGAAATGTGGTGCACGATTTTTAATTTCGGTATTAAAATTTTTACAGCCACCCTTTGAAATCACCAAAATTTGGTCGAAACTTCGTCATTTTAGAACTTTAAACATGAAGTATGATTTAAAAATTTTTAGATCTAAACAAAATGATAGCATGATTTATGACTGCACATTTATTGCACACAAGAATATACTATATAAACAAAGAAGAATATAGGTATAAAGTTATATATCACATGTATTAGTATAATATGAAATTTCGGATTTTTTCTAGCCACCCCTATTCCAAAAATTCGTAAACTTTCAGCGAAATTTTGAACCCTGATATGGTCGGCTGCCCAAAAAAAAAAAAAACAGATCAGGAAAGATGATTAGCTAGGCACGGGCTGGGCTCAGATAGGGTTGACCTAGAAAAGGTCCGTACATAAATTAACTAAGAAATATTTATTAGTTATTATCTAGTTGCTCTGAGATTCGATCAGATTTTCTTAGAAGGAACACTGGAGTAAAGCTTAGGGTTGTTTGGTTCCACCTTCTACTCGCTATCTCATCGGATGTTTAGACACATACATGGAGTATTAAATATAGACTAATTACGAAACAAAATACACAGTTTGAGGTTAATTTGCGAGACGATTTTTTAAGCCTAATTAATCCATGATTTGACAATGTGGTGCTACAGTAACATATGCTAATAACGGATTAATTAGGCTTAATAAATTCGTCTCGCGGATTACTGACGGATTCTGTAATTTGTTTTTTTATTAGTATCTGAACACCCATGCGACATCACATGTGATATCCGATGAGACACCTCTTAAATTTTATTCCCTGCACCCAAACACCCCCTTAATTTTCTTTGATCAGATAGGTAGTTTATTTTGAACTTTTGATTAGAGTGTTTATGTACACTACTGTTGCTAACTTTCTTGTCAACAGCCAAAGAGTGGAACTAATAAACTCCCAAAAGCCAAAGAGTTGGGTTTGATGACTCACGACAGTGGCAGGATTCAAAACCTGTGGGCCCAACCTTATTGATTTTAAGCTAATCACTACAATTAACATATAATATTGTAATTTTTATAATAGGGTTTAAAGACAAGTTACAAAAAACTATGGGGCTAGGTGGCCCCACAGCTTGCACGTAGAGATCCTCTTCTGCTTAGGCCAATCTCAGTGGGGTTTTATCAGAGTTTTATGGACATTAAATATGCTGGTGTGGCACCGTATTGATGAAGAGAGAGATGATAAGAGTTTCATGAGAGTAGAGAGAGTTTCATGGGGATGAAACTCTTCTGCACTATTTTCAAAATATGGATGCATTGGTAACAGGGCCATGAAATCTCCATTGAGACTGGCCTTATGAGTGAAGTCATTTCATCAGTTATTATTGTCCATAAGTAGCTATTTATTTCTTTTATAAATCTAAACTTTTAATAATAACTGATGGAGAACTAATTTCTGAACAAGTAGCCATTTAGCCATGCTAAGGAGCTTGCATTGGGACGTTGATCAAGTTATGCAACCCAAAAACTATATGGACATCTAATCTAATCTAACATTACACGGTGCTGTGTAAAATTTGTTTTTTATTTACTGCAAAAATATCGATATACAAATCTTGAACAAGACAAGAACTACTAAACTGTTCGACTTTCTCTCATTTTTATTTTAGATAAGTTCATCTTCTACGTCAAAACAAATTTCATATGGCTAAGGCTAACTATACACGGGTTTCGTATACTTTACGAGGATCCAAGTGCCTACGTACGAAACACAGGTTAGCAAACGTGAAAATTGCACTAAGGATAGCTATTTTCAAAGCGTGAAAACATATAAAAGATTTGAGATTTTGTATAGAAAATACAAGACTGAACTGAGCATAGTTCACCTAGTTGAGTTTCTTGTGGGTGACCCGCTCATCTGTCTTTTAATAATAGTCGAAGTGCCCATCGATATTGAGACACATGTGGTGACTTCGCTAATCTCGAACTTTATCGGTTTAGTCTCTCATTTTGAAGGTGCTCATAGAGATATGATATATGTTCGAGCATTTACGAGTATCCACCTATGTACAAAAAAAACAATGCTTTTGTTTGTCTCGATGTGCAGGAATGGAAAAAATTCCAATCTGATTAGAGACATTTTCTAACATGCTATTATAACCTCGTTAACATATTTAACTTTGCACCGCCTTTGATGCATAATTTATCTACCGTGGTAATATTTGTCAGGCCCTCTTTGAAACACATGATTTATGAAGGAATTTTGTAGTGTTGCAAACCTGTAAAAGATTTCCTAGGCGGCCCTCTGGACAAAATATTGGCTATCTAAAAATCCTACAAAATTTTTAGAATGGCTCAATCCATGAAACTTCGAAGGAAATCTAACATGTAGTTTAAACTCTTGGAAACTTTCCTTTGCGTTTGTCTCTTTCTTCTAATTTCTTTGTTTTTCATGTATTGTATCCAAATGTTCCATTAGAAACTTTTCTATTTTTTCATTCGTGTAGGATTACAATTGGCATGTAACTTCAATCATGTGTTTCCTATTTCTGCTTGAAATATTATGAGTTCCGTAGAGACACTTATAATGTGCTCTTAGAAAACCTACAATTTCGTGAAAATTTGCAAGATTATTCAATATAATTCAACGGTCAATAGGCCTATAAGTATAGCGCCCTTGGGTTTAGAAACTCGTCAGTATCAACTAAAGCCCCAAAAATGAAAAAACATGAGAAACCGTCTGTCGTTAGGTTTAGGGTCCTAGAATGGACTGCAAAGTGCCGCTAGTTTTAGGGGTGGGTGTAGGTGGAAGATTGCCCAAACCAACGGTGGATGGGATGGTGAGATGGTACATTAATGAAGGGCCGCGGTCCATCCATATTTTTTGTTACTTATTTTTTGGTACAATAAGCGAAGTGGCGATGACATATGACTTCATCAATTTCTAGATCTCCCGCTAACTAAATTTTAATGTTTTATAATTATTAGGATGTATGTGCGTTAATGCATATATACAAGAGTTTGTGTGTCTGTTGTGATGAAAGAAACATCAGACAATTTATGTAACACACTGAGTCTATGCACCTTATTGCATACAAAAATCATCACCATTTATAAAAGGCGGAAAGTCCAAAGTACTACATTCAAACTTGATTTATGTTCAGATAACCCACTAAACTAATGTTTATTTTAATTTACTACCTTAACCATGGTAGTAGGTCTAATTAGCCTTAACAAGATTTGTTATTTTATTTTTTTAGAAGTCTTGCTTTAACATTTTATATCGTGATATAGGATACCATACTCTATGTTGGAAAATGCACCTTAAATTTCTCATCATCATTTTGATAGGTTAGGAAATTTAATAATAAATTTATAGATATAAAATTGTACGAAACATAATGATAAAAAATAGGTAATGTATTTTTCGAACAAATCACGATGTTCTCTATCATTTCATAGAATTTGAAACTTAAAAAATATTTTTAATTTAATGAAAGCATAATTTATACAATAAAAAAATAAAGATAAATCTTGTCAAGGGATAAATTGAACCGACTCAAATAGTTGGGAGGAGTAATTGGACGAAATGTTGGTTTGGGAGTGTTATTTGGAGTTTTGTACATAGACCAAAATTTGAGG